GTGTGTGGTAGTAGTAGTAGTAGTAGTAGTGGTGGTGGTGGTGGTGGTAGTAGTGATAATAGTGGTAGTAATGGTAGTTGTTGTTGTTGTAATAATAATAAGAATGTTTAGAGATCACTGATCTAGGTAATAGAGAGTTACTGAAAGTTGTGCGTGACGTAAGCAGTTAACTTTGGGAAGATTACTTGGACCCTGGTGTGCACTGCAGCATGGAAGGAGTGGGAGGGAAACCCTTTATGATTAGAGTTGAGAAATAATGAAAGTCTGAACTGGGTGTGCTCATGAGAGATGTTCAGAGGGAGAAATGACAGGATTTAGGAAATAACTGGATGTGAAAGGTGAGGGAGGAAGAGTCCAAAATGACTCCCAGCTTTCAAGCCTAGTTGGCTGAAAGAATGATGGTGACATTGACAATAACATGGAAGTCAGAAAGAGGAGCTGATTTGGAGGGAAATGATGATAAATTGAGATTGTGATATTGTTTGCAATTTCAAAACAGAAGGTCAGGAACAGAGCTCGGCAACTTCCCACACTTGTAGACAATGCTAACCTGCAGGGGAGGTATTGCTTTCAGGGTGTATAATGGGAGACCTGGCTATAACTTGGGGTGCTAGTAGTAGACACTAGTCCCCTGGTCGTTCTGCAGTGAGAGAGGGGATTCAAGTGAATTGCTGAGAGTGGAGATGTCCAGGGGGCAGATGGAAATGTAGGTCTGGATTGGGGAAAGAGGTTAGGACCAGAGCTACAGATCTGGAAGTCCTCAATGCAATTGAGAGCTGAAATTGAGAGCACATGAGTGCACTAAGGGACAAGGTACAGTTATCCCTTCTACACCATGGGAGTTAGGGGTGCAGCACCCCTGGGATCTGGAAAATCCACAGAAAATTTTTTGGCCCTCCCCGCATATCAGAGAAGTCTGAGTTTTTTCTCTTTCTTTCATGGGGTGTTTATAATACTTCATTGTAAAATTTGGATTGATATTATACAACACTACACATATATTTTATGCATTTCTAAGTTTCTAAACTTTTTCTGTGTCATCCGCTGGTCTTCATGTGTCATCTGCAGCTTCTGCAAAACTCCCAAAAAATTCCTATTTAATTTTTTTTATTAAAGATATTTATTTATTTAAGTAGATATCTATGTAGTATTTAATGTCTTATGCCAATCTGTGATATATCGAAACTGTGATGGGGAACGTTGTGATGTGGAAACGCAAGATGAGGAAGGGATACTTGTACAGACAGAAAAGGAGAGGCTCTAGGACAGAGTCTGAAGGGATGCTTACATTTAAAAGATGGGTGGTGAAGAGGAATGAAAGAAACTAGAGAGGAAGCTGTCAGAAGTAGGTGAGAATCATAGGTGTACGGTCATCGAAGCAAAAGGAAGATAGGCTATTAAGAAGGAAGTCAGGGTCAGCAGTGTCCAGGGGTGCAGAGAGATTGAGCAGGGAGAGGCCTGAGAAGAGACCACGGAATTTGGCTCTCTGGCTATTAGAAAGTCATTAGTGATCTTGAAAGAAGTAGATGCTCACAGTATGCAGAAATCCCTAAGCATGGGAAAGAAGGGAAACAAGACAAGACAATCTCATGTGGAATGATGTATTCTCTCATCACAGCATTGGGGAATACACCATCCCCAAAGACACCAGAATCTACATCAACCTGTGGTCCATCCACCATGACCCTACAGAGTGGGACGAGCCAGAACAGTTTAAGCCAGGTGAGTCAGTCAAGCAAGTTTTTAAGAATCTTCTGTGTGCCAGGCACTGAGCTAAGAACAAGGGTCCCAAAACAAGGGGCTCCTGGAACCCTAGCACCTCAAATCCAAATTTCCCTGATGTGGGAAGCCGTGTGTTTTCCCATATTCTTCTCCCTTGAGGTTGAGGCTGGGTCACTTCCTCAGTTTCAGGGCTGCCCCAGGGGCATCATGTTTCCCTCTTCAAACCTGGAGTTCCCCAAGGGTAGTCTGTTTTTAAGGCAGCTGGCATAATGGTTTTTTTTTCTGTTTTTTTTTTAAGTGAAGCAATTGGGATTAAGTGACTTGCCCGGAGTCACATAACTAGGAAGTATTATGTGTCTGAGGCCAAATTTGAACTCAGGTCCTCCTGACTCCAGGGCTGGTGCTCCAGCCACTACGCCACCTAGCTGCCCCCATAATGTTTTATTTCCAGAGGAAACTTGGTTCCTCTTGCTGACCTGCTCACCAACTCTTCCGCAGAACGATTCCTGGACAAGAATAAGGAACAACTTATCATGCCAACTGCCAGTTATTTTCCCTTTGGAGGTGGACCTCGGACCTGTATTGGGGAGTTCTTGGCCCGGGCAGAGTTATTCCTCTTTCTGTCCTGGATCCTACAGAGATTTGACCTGGAAGTAGCTGATGATGGAAAACTACCCTCCTTAGAGGGGAAATTTGCAATGGTCTTTCAGATCCTTCCCTTCAAGTTAAAGTTCAAGCTTCGGAAGGCCTGGAGGGAGGCTCAGCTCAGTGCCTAGCCAATAGTCAGATTCACCTCCATCAGCTCAGGAACAATCATAAGCAAATTGCAGAAGCAAGTGAGAAGTAACTTTCATTGGAGATTGCCCTGAGCCCCTCCAAAGGTGCCCCCGTCTCCTCAGTTTCAGGGAGGTATCTTTCCACTGCCTCTAGCGTAGATTTTCTCCTTTCATTCCCTTTCTTCTTACATACACTCTCCTCTGCAAAATCCTGCTTCTTCCTTCCATCAGCCTCAGCTCCACTTGGTAGGCCCCGGGTTTTTGTCCTGAATGATTTCTAACCTCTTGGCTTGATGCCTCTACCTGTGATGAGTTTATATGTCCAGTCCCTTTGGCCGTTCTTTGCCTATGTTCCATGTTCCAGTTGTAGCTAGTTATAACTCAAAAGTCCAGGTGGCACCAGGCTTACCAGCAGTACCACTCAAATTGGGGTTCTTGTCTCCCTGAAAGTTAGACCAAGACTTAGAACAGTTCTTCCTCATATCCCCTGTGAGCCCTTTCCAGCCTAAGAAAAAACACAGGACTCTCACAGCTATCATAACTGAAGGTTGAGCCCCTGCTGAAGACTTAGCCAACTCTAGCCTAGGAATCCATATTCTCTCCCATCACCCACCCCACACTTGGAAACTCAGTTTTTTTTAGGAGATAAATTCCAAGGCTCTCAGCTCTCCTTCAGCTAGTCTATTATTGCAAGAGGACCAAAAAAAAAAAAATCTTTATTCTTGATAGGTCTTCAGTCCATGGAAGAGTCAAACACATTTGTCCATGGACACCAGCACTGGACTCTCAGCTCACCCAAACCTTTTCCTCTAATAGATAAGGACTATAGGAAGGTCACAGGGAGGTGGTCCTGCAGAATGGCAGGAGGAGGCTGAGGTTAGGCCCCAGGTGATAGTGAGGGGCATCTTCAGGGCTTTAGTTGTGTTGAACTGGACAGATAATGGATACCAATGGTCCTACCCTGCAGAGACAGACATTCACAGGACAGTCCCTGCCTCTGGGGGAGCAGGAAAGTGTCTGACATAGAGGCAAACACCTCCTTGATTCCAAGTTACAATCTTCTCCCACCACAGAAGGAAGGGTTGAAAATCTAGTGCTGATGATTTAGTCTTGGCTCTCCCCACCTCGAAGTCCAAGCCCATCCTGGAGGAGCAATTCCCTTCCCCAAGTCTCACTACAAAGATAGTCCAAGAGCAGCTTAGAGAGCTGGGCAAAGTATTTAAAAACTTGGGACCAACCTACAGTTGGCATGGGTGACTAACCTGGGCAAACACAACTGGTTCAGTTCTGTTGACAACACCACTAGGAATCTACTTGGGAAAAGGTTCTTTTCGGTCACTTTGTAGGGTCTTGGGAAGGAGGGAGGGCTGCTGGAAGGTGCTAGAAGAGAACTCCCAAACTTGCCCATTATTTGAGCTGCTGGGAAGCGGCCAAACACCACCACCACTCCTTGAATCAGTTCACCCTCCAGATTGACTCCTCAACCAGCTACAGAGTCAGCAGCCCCACCCACCAGCTTCTTTGCCAAGAGGGTAAATGGATTGTGAGGGGGTGGTGAGATGGAAGGCAAGGGGACGGAAGAATGAAGCATTTTAAATGTCCTCAGAATCTGAAACAAATAAAGCATTTTGCACATGTGTGATGACCAGTGGATCAGTCAAGTTGTGGGCCAGTTTTAGAGGAGGGTCAGAGCTGACACCAGTTTCTCTGCTATGAAACAAGCAAAGAAAATGAGGATCTCATCAAGTTAGAAGCCCTCTCATCCCCTACACACACACACATACACACAGACACACACACACACGCAGCCCACACCTATGTACATATCTGCACCCAGGTACTCCTGAAAGTCAACTTGCCTCCTCAAGCCCTTGGCCTCACCCTTCATTTTCCATCACATGCAATACCCAGTCATTAGGGACCCTCTATACTGACCCAAAACCTGCAGGTCAAGGGAAGTATCCCATTGGCTTCAGGATAGCCCAACCAACCAAGAGAAGCAACCCCTACAATCCTCAGTCAGGCATTCAAGCCTCTCCTTAGTCAGTTTCCAACCTACCTTTCTGGTTATAAGGACTTGGTCTGATTCCCAAGACTGTATTCTTTCCACTATACCACCCTGAAATGACACAACGTATGCTGTTCTCTGCTTCCAAAGACGACACTCCTGACCCACCACTGGCTGGTCGGGCCTGTACTCTGTACCCTACTACACTGAACTGTCCACACTCTTCTTCAGCCCCTTGTTTGTAAGACTCCTGGGAAAGGTGACAGAGAGGAGCAGCCTGGGGACATCTGTGTGCAACAGATCCAGTCAGTGCAGGCGGAAGGGGAGAACCACGGCCTGGTGCCCCAGTAGCCTCTTTGCTGCTTATTACTTTAAACATATACTGTAGTTACAACCATTCCTAATACTGGACAGCCCAGGGATAGGCTGGAGCCAGCTGTACCAGTCAGCTCTCAAAACGCACTTGTTAGATTTTCAGTGTGATCATTTACAAGTCAGAAATCAGCAAATGCTACAAATTAGACCTTGGTTTACTCTTTTGTTGGTGCTCTAAGCTTAAGGAAGAGATGGGAAAAAAAATGTTAATAATACATATTAAACTTAGAAGTGTGTGGTGCTTTGGGGAGAGCCAGCTGATAAACATTTGCTTGACTACACCTTGCCTCACCAGCCAAGCCCAGACACAATCATGGCCTTCCATTCCCATCCCTGATCTGGGGCCTGGTGCAGGCTGGGGGCTTCTGCTCCCGCTGTCTGAGTCTCCGACAATGAGCGTGTTCCTGACCCCACTCAGGGCTCCCACATCTTGGCACTCTACAAAGACTATCCCATGTGGTTTTCACCACATTCAAAAGACTGTCTATATTGCCTTCAACTCTCTGTGCCTCCTGATTTCACATCCTATTACTACTTTGGCCTGGGATTGGAGGATAACATTAACAAGTGGTAGACTTCCTATTTTGGGCCTCAGTTTCCTTATCTGGAGGAGGGGGTTAAACCATCTTTAAAGCACCTTCCAGCTCAAAAGCTCTTCTGTTCTCCTTCTCTAGCTGTTTTGACAAGTTTCCTGCAGAGGTTCACTATTGACACCCCCTTTCCCTGACAGTGAGAGTCTTCCAGTGTTTCATAGATGGTTTGACTTCTATCTTTTACTTTTATCCCTGTACACCAGGATGCTGGGCAATCGATCCACCCATTAGCATTTATGGATTTAGCCATTCTGTACCAATCAACGACTCACCAATACACTTTTCTTTGTCCTGCTCAGCCTATAAGACATCTCTGATTAATGAGATCAATTCAAACTGAACCTGGACAGCATGGAGCGGCTGCTCTCCATTCATTTTCCATTTAGCTATGACAACCAAAGCCTTCATATCTGTCATATCTAGGAAACCTCTGGGCTAGGAAATGGGTCCAAGTTCCCCCAAGGAACCAATTCCCTTCAAGAAATCCCAGGATATCCAAACAACTGTCTTTCCCAAGTAACCCTCAGGCACATCACTCTGGGAAGGACCTTCAATTGGGACCTCAATTACTGATCAAAAGCAGACCCATGCCAATGACCATAGTTTTTTCTGTGCCTAATAAGAGTTTGGAGATTCCTAGATCAGTTTTGCTTATTTTTTTTTTCCTCTTCTTTGTTTTTTTTTAAGAATTCTTGTTTTGTAGGATGGCTCCCTGGGAGAGGGGAGAGGGAGGAATACAGGGGGAAACTTAGGTATTATAACAACAAAAGATATCAACAATTTTTTAAAAGAAATTCTAATAGAGGGGTAAGGCACCTGAAGGCTAATCCAAGCAAAAAGTTTGCTCTTTCCCTGGCTTCTATTAAATCATGGATTTTGAGTTGGAAGGGACCTTAGAGGTCATCTACCTTGGACAAAGCCAAGCTGCTACAACAGAGAAGCAGCCAGTGACACACATGTCTACAGCTGAAATGTTGGCTATGAGCCCCCAGACACAGCAGTCAGCTCATATGGGCCTGGGGGCAGTGGGGAACAGGACTTGAAGGAAGGGTGAAATTGTTTATTTTCTTACATATTACTCATCTCCTGGCACTCTGGGGTCCTAGGCCTACTTCTTGTTCTTCACACACGATGCTCCATGTCCCATCTCCAAACTTTTGCACTGGCTGTGCCCCCCACCTGAAATGTTCTCCCTCCTCATTTCTGCCCTTTGGAATCCCTATCTTCCTTGTAGATTTAGCTCTAGCTGCCACTTTCAGAGACGAGGCCTTTCCTGTCTCTAACCCCACCCTCTAGTCTGAACCACCTGGAGTGTTTGTTACTTTGGATATAAATTAACTTCACTCCCACCAATGCCTGAGTCCCAGGAGAGAGGGGACAATGAAACCAAAACATTGTTTCTGTTAGTATGAGTGGTCCCCTGCTTAACAACAGGGTATGAATTATCTGGCACTTGGCCCCGGTTGAAGTAACTACAGCCTCTCTGCCTTATCAGTGCCTGGGTGGAGCTCTGCCAACTGTCCACTGCTCTGACATACCAGACCAAGACAAAGGCCACTTGAACTGACCCTGAGGGCCATGACCACTGCCTGCCCCAAGCTTGGAGATACGGGCTGACCTACCCCTGGCCCTCCTTGGGAAGCTAGGTGGCAAAGTAGACAGAGTGCTGGGCCTGGAGTCAGGAAGACTCTTCTTCCTAAGTTCAAATCCAGCCTGAGACACTTACTAGTTGTGTGACCCTGGACAAGTCATTTAACCCTGTTGGCCTCAGTTTCCTCATCTGTTAAAAAAAAATGAGCTAGAGAAAGAAATGGCAAACCACTCACTCCAGCATCTTTGCCAAGAAAACCCCAAATGTTTTTTTTTTTTTTAATGTGACCCAGATGGGATCGCAAAGAGTTGGACACAACTAAAACGACTCAATAAGAAGAATTCCTGGGTCTCCAGCCTCCTTCATTCAGAGGCCATTGTGGGGGAGGGGCTTGAACTGGAGAAGGTTATACTTTTTCCTGGGAATTAGACCTGAGAATTAGGTGCTGGTGGGGATGGATCTCTCACTTTATCTGACCCCTGTACTCCTGCAGGTAGCCAGCTTTGGCTTTACGGAAATCAGAGACCCAGGCTGGTTTCAAACTAGCCACAGAATGGGCTTTTGAACAGACATCAAGGCCAAGCTGGAGTGGCTCTGAGAGGCACGGAGCCTAGACTTCTCGGGGTAGTATGGCACAATGGATAGCATTCTGCTTCTGGAGTCAGGAAACACTTGGTTCAGATACTGCTCCTGACACTTACTAGTTGTATGATTTCCATGATATCGAAGGCTTCTCAGCCTTCCAGGGGCCATCTAACCCTCTGAACGAGAAAGCTTTCCTGCAATATACCTGTACAGATGTTGTTTGAAGACCTTTAGTGAAGGAACCTCTTCCATCCAGAGGCAGCTTCTTTTTTTTTTACTTGACTTACAATTGTTGGGAAGTTTTTTTCCCCCCTTTTCATCAAGCCTAAATCTGCTTTCTTAAAAGGGGATGGATTCTAAACCCTGACACCAGCTGTTGTAAAAATTCACCAATTCCAGTAAATTTTCAGTGCTTGATAAATGCTCCTTGTCGATTGACTCTTCCTCCAAGTCCTACACCTTGAAATCAAACTGGATTGCTAACTGTTCTCTTTCACCCACAGGCTGAAACACTCCATCCCCACCTGCTATAATCCTCATTCCTTCAAGCCTAGCTCATGTGCTGCCTCCTAAAGCACTAAATCAATGTCAATTAACATGGTTCCCAGACTATGCCATCCAAACGGAGATAAGGTTAGAAAGCTACAGACTTGACCCCAGCTCTGGGGTCTCCATCCCCTGACCCCACCTACATCGGTCATTAGGTCAGAGGGGGAAAAAGCCTTCTTTAAAACTAGCCTTGATGCTACTGGACCTCTCTCATCACTAGTAGTCTTGAAAAACCTGTCCACAGCCTTCTCCCTCCCTCCTCCCTTTCTCCCCTCAAGGAGGCCTGGGCTGGGCTTGGACTTTTGTGGGAGGTTTAGCTGCTCTCATGCTTCCATGTGACAGAAACCCATCTAGTGTAAAGGCAGAGAAGGAAACAGAATTCTGTCTTAGTGCCTTCCTTCTGAGATTGCATCAGTTTTTTTTTTTTTTCCAATCGTGTCTGACTTTTTGTGATCCCATTTGGAATTTTCTTGGCAGATACTAGAGTGGTTTGCCACTTCCTTCTCCAGCTCATTTTACAGATGAGGAAACTGAGACAAACAGGGTTAAGTGACTTGCCCTGGTCACCCAGCTAATAAGTTTTCCTGACTCCAGGTCCTGCACTCTATCCATTATGCCACCTAGCTACTCTTACTTCTGCATTTACCTCCAGTTTATCCTCTATCTTGCCTCTTTGTTTTATAGTTGTTCGAATGTTGTCTTCCCCATTAGACTATGAGCTCCATGAGGGCAGGGACTGGTTTTTTGCTTTTCATTGTATCTCCAGTGCCCGGCACATAGTAGGCACTTAATAAACATTAGTTGACTAAGAGCATTCTTAAGAACTGCACTAGGAAAAAAAAAGAATTGCACTAGGACCCACATGTACAAAAATATTTATA